ATAACTATATTATATATACTATATAGCTATATATATATATTATATAATATTCATATAAATTCCATTTTCTCTCTCCTCTCTCTCTCTCTTTGCTCTCTGCTCTCTCGTCAGCTCTCCTGTCTCTTTATCTCTCTCTCTATCTATCTATCTCTTCTTTCTCTCACTCTCTCTTCGCTCTCGCTCAGCTTTTCTATCTACCTGTCTGTTTAACTCTCTCTCTCTCTCTCTCTCTCTCTTTATCTATCTATAGATATTAGATAGATATAGAGAACAGATGTTTATAGCAGCGTGAGTTGGAAACCGGAGTCCAATCGCAGCCGCCAGAGGACCTTCGCCGAACGCACGGGGACGGAGCAGCCAGCGGGAACGTGAAGGTTAAACAGATGCGACGATTTTCCCTGGCAGGCTCTCCTTTGCCTGGAAATTGTACAAATAGATTCCGAATGAAGGAGGGACAGAATGATAAAGAGAGAGGGTAAAGAGAGAGAGAGAGGGCAAAGAAGAAAGAGAGAGAGAGAGAAGAAGAGGATGGTTTAAATGAGAGAGGGGAGGCGGAAAGGAAGAAAGAGAAGAGAGAGAGAGACAGAGGAGGTTTTAAAATGAGGAGAGAGAGAGGGAAAGGAAGAGAGAGAGAGGGGGAAAGGAAGAGAGAGAGAGGGAGGTAAAAGAGAGAGAAAGAGGATGTAAATGAGAAAAGAGAGAGAGGAAGAAGGTTTAAAGGGAGAGAGAGGAGAGAGAGGAAGAAGGTTTAAAGGAGAGAGAGAGAAAGAAGAAAGATGAGAGACACACACCTAAGCTTCCACCCACAGACAAGCAAACAGACGCAGAAAAGAGAGAGAAAAAAAAGATGAAAAACGAAGGACACAGAAACAGATGGTGATGCTTCAGGGGAATATAAATGAACTGCGAGGCTCATGACTACATTTTGGCTTTTGAAGTTTAGCCGTTATGCACCTCCCTCGTACATCTCAACTTCATATACATTCTTTCTGCTTAACGCTGCGAACTGTGCCTGGGTTTTGTCAATGATGGAGAGAGCATGTTATAAATCTTGTTAAGTTACAACTTTCTTGATGCTATACGAGAGGACAGTGCTAAAGTCAGTCATTTTTATTCTGTTATTCTGGCAGATCTAAAGAATTCCAATATATATATGCAATATATGAATGTATTTTATTGTTTATGCAGATGATACGTGTGCTTACTCTTTTCTTCTGTCTATCTAGCTCTATCTGTGTATTTGTGTATGTGTGTATATATTATATATATATATATATATATATAATATATATTATATATATATATATATATATATATATATATATATATATATATATATACACACAACACACACACACACACACACACACACACACACACACACACACATCACACACACACACACACACACACACACAACACACACACACACACACACACACACACACACACACACACGTACACACACACCCACACACATATTTATATTATATAATAATATATATAATATATAATATATATAATATATATATATATATATATAATATATATATATATATACTATATATATATATATATATGTGTGTGTGTGTGTGGTGTGTGTGTGTGTGTGTGTGTGTTGTGTGTGTGATATAAATTCACTCGAATACTGAAGGACTATATCGCAGGATCCCCAAATGAGCAAAAGCGAAACTTGGCGATGCAATGCACGAGCGAACGGGAGAGAAACGGAGAGGCCAAAAGCGAAGGGAAAAGAAGACGGGCTCGCAAACACTTTATTGAAGAGAAATGAAAAAAAAGGAAAAAAAGAGAAAAAAAAAAGAAAATTCTTAATTTTGGAAAGTGTAGAGGGAAAAGGTATCAATCCTTTTCTCTGCTTTGTATTTCTTTTTTATCCTACTTTAACCATCATCATCACTTCTTCCTTTATTCGCTTCTTCACTATTCATCAGTCTAGAAATCTTGATTAGATACCTTTTTTTTAGCAATAATAAAGATTTATAAATTCACTCATATAATTCTACATTGTTTATTAAAACCATTTCATATATCATTAACTATTCAAATATCATACTAATATAAAATATCCAGGTAGAAAAAAACAATAATGTAAGAAAAAATCATTTCTTTAAAAATGAAATCTGAAATGAAAGAAATAATAAATTAAAAAATGAAAACTGAAATGAAAGAAAGAAATAACTAAATGAAAAAAATAAATAAAACATGAAAACTGAAATGAATAAAAAATAAATAAATAAAACAAAAATGAAATGAAAGAAAGAAAAATAAAAAAAAACTGAAATGAAAGAAAGAATAATAAAAAAAATTAAAAAAATGAAAGAAAGAATAATAAGAAAAAAACTGAAATGAAAGAAAGAATAAATTGTTAAAAAATTTACGAAACCTGAAATGAATGTGATGAATGAAATGTCGCCGGGTTCGCCATGTTTACACAGCGAGACGAGAAAACAATTGCACAACCTTGCTTCGACAAAAGGATGTCTTTATTGTGGCGTTCCCTTGGGGGTCGCGTTTTGACTTCTATTTTGGCCTGAGGAGCACTTCCATTTTTAATTTCCCTTGACGAGAATTTCATTTCGACATTCAAAGGGTTGGGGGGGGGAGGCGGAGGGGGAGAATTTCCATCTAAATATTCAATGGAAGGACAAGAGGGAATTAGCTTTCCAAATAATGTTCTGTGCGTTAAGTTTTCCACACTCTTGGAATACAGTTTTTTGGATGGGTCCGTGTTCGTCCTTTTCTTTCTCTGTTTCTTTTTCTCTTTCTCTTTCTCTTTTCTCTTCTCTCTCTTTTCTCTTTACTTCTCTTGTTCTTTCTTCTCTCTCTCTTCTCTCTCTCTTCTCTCTCTCTCTCTCTCTCTCTCTCTCTCTCTCTCTCTCTCTCTCTCTCTCTCTCTCTCTCCTCTCTCTCTCTCTCTCCTCTCTCTCTCTCTCTCTCTCTCTCTCTCCTCTACCTGCTCTTTTCAGTTCTTTCTTTCAACGCCATTTATCTCAGTCTGTTTCTCTTTCCACTTTTTTTCCTTTCCCTTTCTGTTGGTTAAAAACAATCTTCTGGTTCGTACTTTTTTTTCGTTTTGTTGTTTTTGTTATGCCCTCCATCTCCATTCTCTCTCGCATTCCCTTCCTCTTTTCTTCTCCCTTTTCTCTCTTACTGTTTCAAAAGATATCTCTATAGAAAAGAACAATAATTATTTTAATACTTTTTACGACAAATCACCTTCTAATGTTGATCTTTGTATGTATATTTGTTGTTACGGAAAAATGTTTTGTCTGTGTGCATTTTTTTTCTTTTTTTCTATTCTTTTCCACTCGCTCACCCAACGAATTGATTACTCAGACTTTATGAAAAATGATGAAAAAAGAATTTAAAAAAAAAGAAAACACTTGAAAAAAAATGTGAAACATGGTAAAAAAAGATGTGTTTGAGGTGTATTTCACGAGGCTAGAGTTTGCTGGGTGTAGCCTGTAGGCTTTAGCAATTTTGTTTTTTTAATGTTATGCCCACGTGCTCTCTCTCGAATGGGATCTGTTGTCTAGGGTTTCAGAGGTCACTTTAGATACAGTGCTGGCGATTTTTTTTTCATTCATTTTTAGGCTAATGACAAACACGTGTCTATACATGATTGTTTCATATGTACACACTTACAAACACACACACGGATGCACGAACACATACATACACACGTACATACGTAAACACATACACAAAAGCAAAACACACCAATACACACACATACACACGCATACACACATACACGCATACACACACATACACACATATATATACACATACACGAACGAAGAGTGTGAGAGAGGAGGGAGGAGGAAGTAAGGGAGAAATAAAGACAGAACAGCAAATAGTGCTGTTGATGATGATATTTGTGATGATAATTGTGTGAGTATTGTAACAGTAATAAAGAATGACGAAAAATTGAAAATACAAGGTATTTGCACCATTTGAATGCATTACATATTTCAAATTCTTTATCTCCCCACTGAAAAAAAAACAATATCAAAAGAAAATAGCAGATCAAAAATAGATTTTAAAAAAAAAAAAACAAATCATGTTCATGTTGAACGAAAGCAAACTTTTTCGAGAAACATCCTGCCTTCTTTTCATCTCACGTTTTAGTGCTCAGTATAAAATTTTAATGACCTGTTTACATCTGAATTAATTTCAGAAAATAGTTCTCTGCTTCTTTTGTTTCGCTATAAAGGAACTCAGCTTTGTTCTCGTTAATATTGAAAAACATTATTATGCCACTAATTATCATTCACGATTATATCATTACTATTATTATTACTATTCCATTATCATCAACGTTTATTACATCATATTATTACAATTACAATTATTGTTATCATTACTATTATCATTATGATTACAATCATTATTGTCTTAATTATGCTTATCATTCTTATCATTATAATTATTGTTACTGTTATTATCCATATGATCACAATCACTGTCAATATTGTCATTGCCATTATCATCAGGATCACTATTATTACAGTTATTCCTATTTTATTACCGTCATTATCGTTAATCTTCATTATCATAACTGATAGCATCATCATTAAGATGAGATATATATTATCATCCTGATCTACATCATCATAATCTTCCCTGTATTATTCCACGGAGGAAAATTATTCCATTCGAACATCGCGGAGTAAAGACAGTGCTATACGGTGACAGCGTTTTCTTTCTTATGGGACACACGTGCAAATCGGTTCCTTGTTTGTCTTTATTTGTATTTTTGTGCCGTTTGATTATGCGTGTAACAACTCTGTGCTTTGTAAGGGACTATGAACAGTATTCATGTTGGCAAATGTAGAAATGTATGAACAAGAAGGAATATCTTCACTATACAATTGCGAAGATATTCATCTTCATTTATACTTTTCTACACACACACACACACACACACACACACACACACATATAATATATATACTATATATATATATATATAATATATATATATATATATATATATATATATATATATGTGTGTGTGTGTGTGTGTGTTTGTGTGTGTTACAGATAGAGTGATAAATGTACAAATAAACAAAAACAATATATAGGTATGCCAGTATATACATACGTACATTTACAAAAAATAGGTCAATAAAGATATAACGATATATAGTATACAGACACAAATAATTGCCTTTTCTTTTTTCATATCTTCCCCTTTTTTTTTTTTTTTTATGTCATGGAAAACGTAGTATATGAGGATAAATTGCATTTAGAGGTTGATTTTCTAGAAATGACTGATAGGAGTTTAAAATCAATGAATATACATTACATACGACTTACATCATTACGAGAATTTTAAAGTATTTCAAGCACCTAAAAGCTATAATCTGAGAGAGAAATATTAGTTGCCAATTGTGCGATACAAATATTTACATTATATTTTCCTTTACTGATGACATCAAAACCAACCATGTTTTCATTCTCCAGTAGAAGTACTCTACCCCTTTTCCTCCCTTTCCTTTCTTTTTTCCCATTTGCTCCTCTATCCTTTCTTTCATTCTTTCTCTCATCCCTCCTTTCTTCCTTTCCCTCTTTTCATTACATTCCATTCTCTCTTTCCCTTTTTCTCTTTTTTTCTTCTTTTAATCTTTCTTTCCCCCTCATTTCTTTCATTCCCTCCTCCTTATAGGCTACTTCCTCTATTCCAAATTACCTCCTCTCCTCCCTCTCTCTCTCTGCCTTCCCCTTCTTTGTTCTATTCATCCTCCTCCTGCGCCTATCCACCCAGGAAGAGGCGGAGAGGAGAGGAGGAGGAGCAGGGGTCATTTCAGCCTTTCCTTCGGGGGGGGGGGGTCATTTCAGCCTTTCCTTCAGGGGGGGGGGGAGGGCAAGGCTGGTGAGCCGAGTAAACACAATCAGCTTCTGGCGCCGCGGTTCCCGTCGGAGAAATCTGCCAAGGAGTAGCCTTTCTTAGATATTTTTTTTGTTTGTTTGTTTTTTTAAGATATTTTTTTTAATTTTTGAAATAAAAAATATTTATAAATATAAAAATAAAAAAAAAGATATTTTTGAGACACGACCAGAGCTGCGAAGACATGTTTGCGGACTTGCATTCAAGGGTTGCCTAGTGTCGCCGATAACGGGAAAAGTTGGTTCATTTATGACGAGGAAATGCGGAAAGGAGAAGAAGAGGAAGATAGAGGAAAGGAGGGAAAGAGGAAAGAGAAGAAGAGATAGAAATAGGGTGAGGAGGGAGGGATAATCAAATGCGGAAAACAACGAGGCGAAGAAGGAACTGAAGTAGACAAAAAAAAAAAAGAACGAGAAGAGGAGACAAGAGAGATTTTTTTTTTTTAAGGAGGTGAAGAGAAAATTGATAAACGAGTAAATTGCCATCAGTCTTCATGCCAATCCGCAAATAATCTCAACGTCAAGAATTAGTTATTGCTCGGACATGTCCCATAAATACAGGATAATGAAACGCCAGTACTATGACACTGACCCTTCTAAAAAATTCTAAGGGGTGACTCGTCTGAAAGGAAACGTAATTGTGGTTAAAGTTTAATGTAGTTTTTATACAACGGGAGCTAAGGATGAGGCCCCGGATTCATTTGCATGAAAGCAAAGGCTCTTTTGTGGCTTTTGCAATTAGGCTTCCTCTCCGTCGGGCTGTTGAGATGATGTGTGCGAGTGTACTGGGCGCGAACCCATATATATGTACATGCTTGTGTCTTATGTAGGTGGATATCTCCCTATCTGTGTGTGTGTGTGTGTGTGTGTGTGTGTGTGTATCTGTGTGGGTGTGCTGTATTCTCTCTCGCTCTTCTCTCTCTCTCTCTCTTCTCTCTATATAATATATATATATATATATATATATATATTATATATATATATAATATATAGCTAATTACTCATAGAATACTAATTGCAAAGTTTTACAGACTCGTTGGCATTTTGTGGATTTCAAGACGGAATAATGTAACAGCGCACTGTATGCGTGTGTGTGA